ATCGGTATCATACATTAAAAACAAAAATGTATGACGCCACAAACTCTCTATATGTCATGCATCTCAACTTTACGTCATCTGCAGTCATTCCAGGTCGATAAGTAACGGGTAGAGCGGTTTCTAATTCAGTCTGTCATGAGATCCACTGTAGATCTAGCAGTGCAAATTATGCTTTTATCTACTTCAACGCCGTACATTTCCCTCCTTCGTACACTGAAATGTTAGCTGATCTCAAGTTCTTCACTTCGTAGTGAGTCGCCAATCAGAAGTCAATTTCCGGTACTTAGTGCCAGCCAATAAACGAGGTTGAAAATCGCGAAGGATATAGGGAACATGTACCGACAGCATTTGTTGGTAAGCACACTGAGGTCGGTTTTCTCGCTCTCTGTAGACTGGGTACAAGCCATACAGCACGTGATCAGATTGCTTTTGCACGGCGATCTTTGTTCAGCTTTGTTTTCTTGCTGGCTGACTAAGTGTACATGGCCGTTAGCGTCAGCAACGTAGTTTGGTTGGAAGCCATGTTTACACTGGAACACTATTTTATTGTTTTGATGCTTGGAAACGAAAGAAAATGAAATTGTCATTAAACTGTGTGGAAATTTTACTCCTCTTTCCTGTTGGAAAGTTCGTCGGTATAAATTTATACAAGCAGAAAATGGCTAACATTGTGTGCAAATAGGTCATTTCCGAGTTGTCTTTTGCCTCTGTGTCAAAAAGAGTTCGTGCGAATCCATGCATATGAACATGAGTTCCGCCTACAGCTTCATTTTCACGCAAATGAATCTCAACTTTATATGAAAGGTTTTACACGAGGACTAGTTTTGAAACAGGGGCACAAGGGAAATCGGAAATGGCCCATTAAAATAAACAAATAATTAATCGCCGACGTTATAAATTAATCAGTAAGTAAGTAAGAGTAAGTGAATGGAAAAAAAAGTCAGTCAGTGAGTCAGTTGGTCAATCAATCAATCAATCAATCAATCAACAATAATTCAGTAGATAAAAAATTAATTAATATCTTTATTAATTTCAGAAGTTTTCATTTAGCACTTGTAAATTCAGAAAGAAATGTAGACCAAATGTTCTGGGACCGGAGACTGTGACACAGTAAATCATGCATTACATATATTATTTATTGCATCAGTTTCACTAGAGCGCATTCAGAGGCTCGGTCATTATATTTCGTTTCTTTCTTTCGGTTGGGACGTAGTAAACCCGCGGGTTCAATCCACAGGCACCCCAAACTGCTGTTAAATTACAAGGGTTTGTATGACAAAGCAACAAACGTAATTTGGCGCTGGAAACTCGAAAGATACACTGATAAATATGCCTTGCCGTGCTGTAGTAATGTTTCTTTTTTCTTTGTTCTGTGATGACTGGGCTTATTTTGAGCGATTTAAGCCAATTTACTTTCCGGTGCCTCCCTTTCAAAGCCACGCTACAAATGTAAACGAACAAGCAGAAACTTTGGTCTGTTTACATGAAGCGCTTTACTTTACGAGAGTTATTGGGATATGAAGTCTTTTCCGTTGACCTGTGCCGTTCCAGAAGACCCATACCAAAAAGAGAACTTAAGTGAAAAATCAAAATTTTGTTACCTTCTGTTCCTTTTCTTCTCCTTCTTGTTCTTTCTGCCTCGATTCTTCCTTCGAACGGAACCTGTAGACTAGTAAATCTGTGACCAGCGTAGAAAACACGAAGATGAAGGAGCCAAGAAGATACCAATCAATTGCCTTGGCATAGCTGACCCGAGGCATGGTCGAGTTACTGGACCCGAGCAGGAACACAATCGTTAGTATGGTCGTGACTCCGAGGGAGAGTCGTTCTCCGATGTAATATCGATCCATCCAGAACGAGATCCAGCTCAGGGAAACCATCACAATACATGGTATGTAGAATTGAATGAAATAGAAACCCATGCGGCGATGAAACGTGAACGTCACGATCAAGTTCTTGTAATTTCCTGAAACGAGAAAAAAAAAGAAAGAAAAGCTGAAATTTAGTGATCTGCTAAACTAGGAAATGCTCTTCGCAACTTTTTAACGAACTGAGATTTCTGCAGTATTCTATTCCTCGCTGAATGGTACGCAAGCTCTCAGCATAATAAAAGAAATTGTGCTTGTCCGCCCTAAATGAATGAATAAATAAATGATATTCAACAGCAGTGAGTAATCAAATATTTGCAACAGGCGGCACGTAATAGATGCAGCGAGGTTCTGAAGTCAAGTGAGATTCTCAGGCGCCAAACATTACGATCAACGTTGTTGCTTTAGCACTCGCCCGAGGCTTTTCAAAGGAATAGTGTCAAAATGGTATCAAAAACAGTAGAACAAATTTTGCCTCACCTGAAACATAGGAAGCCTTTTTTGACTCCACTTCAAATTTAACCACATCGAATTCAGCCAACTCCTCATTGAAGAGTGTGATCGGCTCTTCTTCCTTCCACCGAAAGTCCATTTCTTCAATAGTATGGCGGACTGAAAAGAAGACAATTTCGCATTCATTTAAGACTTTTCATAAAAGAGAGAGGATGTGAATGTGGATGACCCGGTCACAACATATTAGAGAGACCCCAAAAAAACTGTCGGCGTTCTCATTCATAACTGACAGGCGGCCGAATAACCTAAGTTAATAAGCAGCTATCACTTACGAGTCTCTATCCAGACGTGCAATTCTAGGAGTGCAACTCTAAGACACATCTCTAATATGACAGAAAAACATTTCTTTTGAAGAATGGTACTTCTCATAACAAGAAATTGATTTTGTAAACCAGTATACACAGTATCAGACAACTATGACAGGAAGTTGTTGAGAGAATTGATCGATTAATCTTGTTGATTGCATATGTACCAATATCTCCAAGCGATTAGTATTATATGGTTCTCCGGGTGCTCTATCAATATAAGCTAACTGGGCACAGCAGAACCTCATCATAAGACCCACTTCTCTATAACAACCACCTCTATACAGGGGTTTGCCTGACCCTCCTGGCCTGACCTCGCGCCAATCCGCACAATTGCTGGTTTTCAAAACTAATCAAAGTGCTTTATGAGCAAACGCGTCGATTTCCCAGT